CCCAAGCGCCCCTAAATGAAGTATTCAGAGGTCCCTAATTCTCTGCTAGCCTCTGGCACTGACATTTAATAAGGCATTGACGGCTGAGATGTCTTTCTTGCTTTTGTTTTCTTAAAATCACCCAAGGAAATATCTTCTGTCACAGTATTATAGGTTCTATTACAGAACACCTTGCTTGAGTTTGTTTACATACTTAACAAAAAAATTGGGATGGGTCTTTCTTTCCCTTTTTTTTCCCCTATTATCTTTCCCTATTTCTTTCACTAAAAGAACATTCTTGGAGAAATGTCAGTTTAAGTTTTGCTCAAGAATCTAAGTATAGTTCCAGAAGAAAAATGAGCTGCATCTGATAAGCAGTAGGCATTTTCAGAAGCAGACACACAACTGGCCCCAGTTAGAGTCAACTGTTGCTCCTACGAATTTATTCACTATAAAGTTTCCAGACGTTTCCAGCTAGGAGCCCCGAGCAGAAAGCCTTTAACCGTTATTATTCCGTATGACGCAGTTCAGTCATCTCTTTGCTCGGCATTTAAAGTGGTTAAGCTGGAAACACGAAACCAGGACCCTGATGGGAGTTTACATTCAGAACTCTGAAGCGGAGGTGTGAGACTGCCGAACCAGGAGGTGAGGAGTCTGTCTATAAGCAGAGGTCTCCGGGGTGCCGGGCCGGCTCACTTGGTGGCGTGTGCGACTCAGGGTTGTGGGTTCGAGCCCCACGTTGGGTGTACAGATAACTTCAAAAAAATTATAAGCAAAGATCTCTAGTTCAGGATAACCAAGGTTTCCTTTCTTGAGACCTGTTCCAAATCAGGATCTGCTTCAGTATTTGATAGAATATTAAAACATAATCAAAGGAAGGGTTTATTAATCATCCACTCTGGGGAGATGCTTTACATGGCTGTCACCGTGACTCCTTACCGCAGCCCTTGGCCGCTTCTGGAGATAGCTGGTGACAAGAACTGGGGTAAACTCAGGTCTCACTCCAGAGCCTGTGCTTTTCAGCTCTGCAGCCTCCCAGACCCAAGATGATCGTGACCAGAAATTAGACCATGTGGGAGGTTATGAAGTGTGTTCTGTGCCCAGCTGCTAGGAGATTGGGAGGGGGGAGATCTGTCACAGCCGGGTAAGGCTGGGCTGTAACGGACAAAAGCAGGGAGCGGGTATGTCTGCCCCACCCATGACGAGAAGGTAAGGAAGGTGAGCAGTGGGAGCCTTCCAGATCTCACAGGTCAGGCCAAGAGGTCGCCAGCCAGCGAGGGAAAGAAAGGGCAAAAAGCAACCAGGCAGAGCTGGAGTTGGTTGTGGCAAAGAACAGCCGAGAATCAAAAACCAAACTCAACGGTTGGGAGTTGGGCAGGGAGGCCAAGGAAAAGGAGAGACAGAGGAGGGGAGCGAGGCCAGGAGCCACCGCACACACTGAAGGCCTTCCTTCTCCTTCACAGGCCTCTCCGAAATGCATTCCGCTCACCTGTGACTCAGCAGACACTACTGTGGAGAATGGATTACTGCTTCCATCTCAGGAATCTCTCCTCCACATACGACCACAGTGACTTTAAAATGTGAAATTAGGGGGTGCCTGGGTGGCTCAGTTAGTTGAGCGTCTGCCTTCAGCTCAGATCATGATCCTAGGGTCCTGGGATCAAGTCCTATGTCGGGCTCCCTGCTTAGCCGGGAGCCTGCTTCTCCCTCTGTCCCTTTCCTGGCTCATGCTCTCTCTCTCAAATACAGAAAGAAAATCTTTAAAAAAATAAAATAAAAAATAAAGTGTGAAATCAGGGGCACCTGACTCTTGATTTCAGCTCAGGTCATGATCTCAGGGTCGTGAGATCGAGCCCTGTGTCGGGCTCCATGCTCAGTGGGGTGTCTGCTTGAGATTCTTCCCCTCTCCTTCTTCCCCCCTCAAATAAATACATCTTTTTTAAAAATGTGAAATCAAACCATGTCATTCTCCAGCAAAGACTCACTACACTTCAAGTAAAATCTCTTCGTTTGGCTTTTAAGGTCCTATATAATGTGGCCCTTCCTAGTTTCCCAAACTCTTGCCATGTCACTCCCTATATTCTTGAGCTCTTCCTTTTTCCTGCCGCCAGTATTGCTCCAGGAACTCAGGGGCCATGCATGTCTTGTGTGTATCACCCCACCCGGGTCTAGGCTGGAGCACAGTAGACACAATCGTTGGACAGAATGAAAGAAGTGGAGAGTCCGTAATGTAGCAAGTGTCCATTAGAGGGTTCCCTTGACCCTCGAGAACAAGACCAACTGTTCTACAAGCATGTCCACATAAAAGGTCCTAATGAAAGTAGACTGATCATAATACAGTAAATGCTTTCAAAAGGAGCACTCTACCAGCTATGGACGCTTCCTTCCACCACGTGACCAGACTCCTTTCTGCAGACAGCAGAAGGGAGCCACACACAGCCACCCACAGTGAGGCCGCCTCCCTGCTCCTCAGGGTTCACACCTCCAATACCGTCCTCAAAGGGTTGGGGTTAGGAGTACCAGAGACTGCACGTGGGGCACTGAGCTCATCGTCTGCCACATGGAAATAATAAATGGCAGCTGCTGTTATTTCAAATCACTTAATGAAAGTTATTTTATCTGTAATAAATGCTTTTTCCAATCATTTTCCTACATCCAAATCCCACTTAAGGCCCGGTTCAAATACTGCCTCCCATCTATACGATGAGGAGACACGCTCACTACTCCCTACTCCCAAACTGCCCCCCACCCCAGACTTCACCTTCCCTTCACAGCCAAGCTTCTAGGCAAAGTAGTCTACATGGCCATTTATTCACATTTATTCAGTGATTCTGATCATTCTTTAGCACCTGCCACTGCGTTGCTAAATCCAATGAAAACTTTTAGTCTTTTTTTTTTTTAAGATTTTATTTATTTATTTGAGAGAGAGAGCATGAGAGGGGGAAAGTCAGAGGGAGAAGCAGACTCCCCATGGAGCTGGGAGTCCGAGGCAGGACTCGATTCCAGGACTCTGGGACCATGACCTGAGCTGAAGGCAGTTGCCTAACCAACTGAGCCACCCAAGGTGCCAAAAACCTTCTAGGTTTTTAGCTCTCACTAGCTGCTGACACTGCTGAACACTCCTGTCTTGAAAACACTCTGAGCCCTGCTTCTTTCCCACCAATCTGGCCACTCCTTTCACTCCCGGCTGCACACCCCGGCCACCACTCCCGCATATAGCCCGCAAATGCCGAAGTCCCACAGGTCTCTTGACTCTCTCAGGAGCTCCAAACCCAGCCTTCCCACAAACAGCACAAATTTAAAATGGCAAAAATGAACTCAGCATCTTACTCTGTTACTGAATCATTGATCTTAATGAAGCAGCACAACCATCCAGTCTGTGACTAGAACCACAAACCTCAGACCCCACGGAGGGGGCTCCATCACCCCCAGGGTCCCGGTTTCACAACGCTTTATTGCAATGCTTCTGCCTTGGCTCCTCCTGCCTTGACGACTTCAATAGTCTCCAGCCAGTCCCTCTGCCTCCACTTTTTTTAAACAGCCTTATTGAGATAATAAATTCACCTACCATAAAATTCGCCCCTTTAAAGTCAATACTGTGTGGGTTTTAGTTAACAAAGTTGTACCACCATCACCACTGCCTAATTTTAGAATATTTCTATCACTCCAGAAAGCGTCCCCATACCCTGTAGCACTTACTCCCCAGTGCCTCCTACCCCAGCCCCAGCAACCACGAATCCGCTTTCTATCTCTGTGGCCTGCCTTTTCGGGCCACGTCACAGAAAGGCAGCTATATGACCGACAGCCTTCCGGGGCTGTCAGAACTCCTGACCCACCTCCACTTCATTCCACTCTTCACTGGATTAAGCTTAATAAACTACAACTCATGCCATGTCGCTTCCTTGGTTAAAACCCTCTCATGGCTCCTGGGAGATGTCTGGACAGTGGTCATCCTCTTCCTCACCTGCCTCCTGCGTCTCCCTTTAGCCCGTCTACATGCTCCCTTTATCCCCTTTATCTCCCCTTTCACTCAGCTTCCCAGACATAATATACCGTGTCACACCTCCACCTGTCTGCCCACGGGATTTTGTCTGCTTAGAACGCACTTCTCTGCCTTATCTATCTGACTGCCACTCACGTCGGAACACCCCACCAGCCAGGAACCCTCGCTAGCAACTCAGATGTCCCGTGCCCATGTTTCCACAGCACCTTCTGGAATAGTCACTATTCTACTGCGCCTTAACACTGTTTTATCTGTCTCCCCACGAGACCATTAGCTACTAACTGAGGGCCCAGGTCCTGTTTCATGCTTCTTCTGCAGCATTTAGCACAGTGTCCAGAGTGGAGGAGTCATTTAAGCACTTGTCAAATGAGTGTCAGTATGATCTTGGAATTAGCATTAGTTTTGTGCACACCCTTCGACGCCCAGGAGGCAACGTGCAATAAAGAAGTTCAAAAGAAATACACACCCCTGAATTTCACAAAATATTGCAAACGGCACATGACTATGAGAACTGTGCCAAAAATAAAACATTCTTCTTAGAAAAAGTAATGGGCAAAAACCACTTGGATTTGGTAGAGTTCTGTGACAAAACAAATAAGATTGTTGTTTGATCGTCAGTGTCCCATGTTGAAAACCCAAAACTCATTAGCGATTTTGCCCTCTGAAAAACTGCTGGTAGAAGTTAGGTTCCAGAGGGCGCCTGGGTGGCTCATGGGTTCAAGCCTCTGCCTTCACCTCAGGTCATGATCTCAGGGTCCTGGGATCGAGCCCCACATCAGGCTCTTGGCTCAGCAGGGAGCCCGCCTCCCACCTCCCCACCCCGTCTCTGCCTGCCTCTCTTGCCTACTTGTGATCTCTTTCAAATAAATAAATAAAATCTTAAAAAAAAAAAAAAAGAAGTTAGGTTCCAGAAAAAAGCTGTCATTTTTACAGAAGAATTTAAGTAAATAAATATGTATAACGAGACATGAGGGGATAAAGATAATTTTGCTGGGGGCAAAGCGGCTTAAGAAAGTACCTGAAGATACACCTTCTTCACACCGGGCACATAATCTGCAATCCGGCCGAAGAGCAGCCGTCCGACTCCTGAGGTGATGCCGATGCACATGAGAACCACCTCTTTGTTTTTTCCATCTTGAAATCTCTCATTCACATATTTCATCTGTGGGCCAAAGAGAAAAAAGCGACACTAAATATGGTAGGAAAAATTGGCAAGTTTTGACACAAAATGCCTTTGTGTCTCCACAATGTTACAGACTCTCACCCCCTTCCAAATCCAAATATTCATAAAATTTCTTCTGTGCTAATTTTTCATCAGAACATAGGAAGACAAGGCTAATGTGATTTAGCTTGCATAAAAGAAACAAGAAACCTCACGAGAGGGCTTTATTCAAAAATGGGTTACCAACATGCATTGTTTTCTTTCTTTTTTTTTTTTTAGAGATTTTATTTATTTATTTGACAGAGATCACAAGTAGGCAGAGAGGCAGGCAGAGAGAGGGGGGGAGCAGGCTCCCTGCCTAGCAGAGAGCCCGATGCAGGGCTCGATCCCAGGACCCCGGGATCATGACCTGAGCCGAAGGCAGAGGCTTTAACCCACTGAGCCACCCGGGCGCCCCCCCAATACGCATCTTCTAAGTTAACACTGAGCCATTAGCTCACGGAAGAGAACAGACTTTGAACATGCTGGACATCCTTGCTCTGTCAGGGTCACCTAAGGACGCCATCATCTGCTCTCCTTAAAGGCAGTTTAAGGCAGTTTCACATCTTCTCGGAGAACCTGAACCAAATGGCCACCCCTGAAATAAGCTGTCCTGGAGCTTCCAGGATAAAAGCGTTAAGGGTCCCTGGCTGACAATCTGCCTGTCCGTGCAGCATCAGAACAGAGACACAGAAGCAGTTGAACACAGCGGTTAGGAGAAAACCCTCTTAGAAAGACTGTTTGGGTTCAAGTCTAGGGTCCATGCCTTATCAGCCTAGTGACTCTGAATAAGTTCTTAACCTCCAGGTCCTCAATTACCTTGTCTATAATATGGAGATAGCAACAAACCTCAGGAGGGTGGTTTTGAGGATTAAAATAAAGTATCTATGTAAAGAACTTAGAATAGTGCCTGACACAGTTAATAATGATAAGATATTAATTTTAGGGGGCACCTGGGTGGCTCAGTGGGTCAAGCGTCTGCCTTCGGCTCAGGTCATGATCCCAGGGTCCTGGGATCGAGCCCCACATCGGGCTCTCTGCTCAGTAGGAGCCTGCTTTCCCCCTCCTTCTAGCTTGTACCCTCTCTTGCTATCTCTGTCTCTCTCTCTCAAATAAATTCTTTAAAAAAAAAAAAGATATTAATTTTAGGGTTTTTTAAAAGGACCCTTTCCCTTAATTGACAGTGTGCCTAGAACAGTGACTATGAAATGGCCACTTGACAATGTGTTTTTTTTTTTTTTTTAAGATTTATTTATTTGTTTGACAGAGAGGGAGCAAAGCAGAGCCACCCAGACGCCCTGACCATGTTTTAAAAGGCAGTGTGACCAGGCACGTGCTGTCTTGGGTGACAAAACACGCAACTCAGCACCAACCAGCATAAGCTCTGCTCCACAGCCCCAAAGTGTCACCCTCTCTTAGCACTTCCATTCTCTCAATGAGCATCTGTGCTCACAGGAGAAAAAGCATGTCTGTCCTCCTACTGCTTTCTCTGAAACCACAGAGATGTTTTCACAAATCCAAACAATTGTTTGAAACAATCAGACTTACTGTTCCCTACACCAAACTTTGGCCTGAATTCCAGAAGCCTGCAAAGCAAATTACCCCAGCAAGTTCAACGGCCCAGTGTTTCCAGGTGGTCCCAGTAGCCTTCAGGGATGAATGAATGCCATCCCCTTAAGAGACTTCCATTTTGTATTTTTATGCCCACTTGGAGAGGCCAACACCAGTGCACCTGCCTTTTCCTTTTCAAAACTGGTAACTCCCGTCCCCAACTTTTGCATTTTCACATTGGTCCAGAATAATCTCACCAATCCCTCATACATCAGTTGCCCACTGCCTATGTTTGTATTCTTTACTTTGGTATTAAAAGCCCTTCATAACCTCTCACCAGTCTATCTTTGTGCCCTTATTACCTACTGACCCTCCACTGAAAAGCAGAAAATGCAAATGTCTACAGGTCTCAGGCAAGTAGCATTAAGGAGTGAAACAGGCTTGTCAGAGAGAGGGAGTTGATTATTTCTATACAGGACCACCACGTTGCCAAGTCTATCTCCCAGCCCCCTTTTATTTTAAAAGAAAGTCAGAAATTTTTTGTTGAAATGTTGGCACCTACCTTAAATTTAGAATCCGTCAGGATCCAACCCCAAGCCAAACAGAACATGTCTGCAAACTGCATTAGGCTGGCTTTGATCTTAGCCCGAATCCCATGTGCCCAGCAGGACAGGTTTATTCAGCGTCGCTTAAACACGTCTCGTACTTTCCTTACCTCTCTATATTTCTGCTACCTCTTATGTCATCTGACTTTCTGAATCCCACCCATTCTTTAAGACTCTGCTCAAATCCCACCTTTTCTATAAAGCTGTCCTCGATCACCTCTGACATCCACTTCTTGTTACTGCCTAATGTTTTCATTGGCACCTTAAGTACTGAATGTTCCTACCCAGCCTTTCTAGCTTCTAAAGCTACATATTCTCTTGTGTAAACTCTTACATGTCAAACTAGACCTTATCCACCTGCCTGTTCCAAAGACACCACAAAGTCAGCAAGCCCCATTCTGAACTCCTCTCCCCCTCCCAACCTGGCCTCCCTCCGTTTCTGGCAACACTAGTACTGTTGTCCCAATAACCACAGGGAGAAACTGAATGACCATCCTAGATTACTCCCTCTCCATCCCCTAAGATCCAGGAGTCACCCCTAAATTCTGACGATTTTGCCTCCTACCCTTCTCAGACACACTTTAGTTTAGGTTCCTTTTTGTTATTTTTTATTTATTTTTTTAAATTGAGGAATGGTAAAGTGATAGTACAAAGCTCCTGAGAGGGAGGGGACCCGAGAGAGGGGTGCCACAGTTTAGGTTCCTATCACTCCTCACTTAGACAAACAACAGCCTTCGAGCATGCTTCTGGCTTGAGGACCCACTCCTGAATCTCTCTGCTCTAAGACCACCAGATTAAGTTCAAGATTAAAACACTTCTCGGCCTAAGATCCTTTGCTGGCTCCCACAGTCTTCAGGGTAAAGCTCCGACTCCTGGTTGGATAGATGAAAGCCTTCCTGCTTTGCTGCCACAGCCTCCTCTCCAGCTGCCTCCCTGTACCCGGCGCGCTAACACTGTGCTGCCCGATATGGTAGCTGCTAGCCATGTGGGGACTACTGAGCCCCGAAAATGGAGCTAGTAAGTACAAAACACACGACCAATTTGGAAGACTTACTGAAAAGAAAGCATGTAAAATACCTCAATAATTTAAAAACTGACTCCAAGCTGAAATATTTTGCCTGTCTTAGTTACTACCTTCATATAATTTTTTAAGATTTGGAAACTAGAAAATTATAAATTACATACGCAGCTTGCATTGCATTTCTATTGAATGGTGCTGGTCTAAGAAATCCACTTGTGGCTGCACAGAGGAGAGAGCTGTTGATAAAGGTAACCTCTAACTGGCTTATTTCTCTGGGCCCTTATCACCCCCCATGAAGTGAAATTAGTTAGACAAAGTGGAAAGATGGATTCCAGCTCATTCTGAAGAAAATAAATACCCTGACTTAAGGCAGGTGGGATATAATTATGTGTATTCACCAGCATTATTTTGGAATTAGAATCCAGACTTAATGTATTAATCTACTTCAGTAAGTACCCAAAGGATCTATTATAACTTTTTAAAAGACATTCTTCAGTATTCAAGAAAACTAAATTCACTAGCCATTCTTTTGATAAAACTAAGAACACCTGCCTGCCAAAGTGCTATCATCTTTTATTAGTGCTTTGTTTCTCCCCTGGCCCTACTTTATAATCCTAAATGGAATACTAAGGTGAAATATCTGGGGCCTTTTGAAAGTCGGTAAGTTTGGTAAATTCAAACTACGTTTAAGTGGAAACTTATTTCATTGAATTATTATTTCATTGTTATTTCATTGAAATTTATTGCTATTGTTGCTGTTAAAATAAAACAAGAACTTCAGCTTCTAATACCTCCTCCTCACCAGCAGCCAAAATCTGCAAGCTAAAAAAGTTTCTGTGGTCAGTAAGTGAGGGAATTTGAGGGCCTGGAGAACGGAATCTAGGGATGCTGGATCTCTGGGTCCGAGAGATCCTTCCTCACTGAGGTACCAGTACCCAGAAGATCTGGTGTTTTCTCCTTACAGCCTGGGCTTCCCATGATTGCCGCAGACTATTTTATGAGTCTCTGCCTACGTCTCAACCTCTGGAGAAGGGCATGCACTGTAGCAGAAAGCATGAATACTGGGCAAAACTGATATGTCTAATAACGAGTTACATGGATAAGAACATGAAAATATTGGACAGATGTTTCCATATTTGATCTAACTTATTTTAACCTTTTTTTTGTTGAGGGAGGGGGTGAGCAGGGCGAGGGGAAGAGGTAGAGAGCAAGAGCAAGAGAGAGAGAGGGAGAGAGAGAGAGAGAAAATCCTAAGCAGGTTCCACGTAGAGCACAGCATGGAGTTCGATCCCACGACTCTGAGATCTTGACCTAAACCCAAATCAAGAGTCAGAGGCTCAACTGACTGAGCCACCAGGTGCCCCTTAAATCTCACTTTTTTTTAACAAGCATTTTCTTAAAGATTTATTTTAGAGAGAGAGAAAGAGAGGGAGAGAGAGAGACACTCAAGCAGAATCCCCACTGAGTGCAGAGCCCAAGGCAGGGCTTGATCGCGGGACCATGAGATCATGAACAGGACCAGTCAACTGACTGAGCCACCCAGACACCCCTAATCTAAATACAGAGCTTAAAACAGATCCACTAGTGCAAAAGGAAGACCACCATTCTGTAGCGCAGCTGTTTCAAGCAGACTTTATCTGAATGTGTGCGTGCCCTCCACGCAGGAGTCAGTCTTTTATTTCTGTCCCCAAACACGTGTTTACTCCTCTCACAGATGACCAAAACCTCGCTGACACTTTGAATGCTCTCCACTCCTGAAACATTTTTCATCATTTGAGCAAGAA